ATCAGTGAATCTTGCGATATATGATGTTAAATTTTAGTATTCAAAAATTTTTATATAATTAAAATATTTATGAATTTGCGTTTATATACATATCTCAACTTCCACCAAATCAAATTAAATGAAATTTTAATATATTATATATTAAAATTTTATCAAGATTATATGAAATTTTGAACTAATTCTGATCAGTGCAACTTGAGATATACGATGTCAAACTTAGTGTTCAAAAACTTTTGATAACCCTTTGTATTTGATCTTTTATAAATATACGTATAAAAAGGATCTGATCAAATATAAAAATGAATTAATTATAAAGAAACCTGAGCTAATAATAAAAAATTAATTTAATATTAAAGATTAGTAAAACTAAAAAGTCAATAAAATTAATTTTGTTGGAATTGTTAGATTAATAATACAAATTTTTTATATAAGAGAAAAAGAAAAGAACTTGCTGATTTTGATTGAAAATTACTCTAATTGTGGTAGATATAAACCTGAAAAATTATTAAAACAATTATTATTTAATTCAAATTAATTTAAAAAAGTACTTGAAATATTTATGAAAAATTAATTATTAATTTTAAATAAACAATATTATATTATTATTAAATTTAATAATAAAATTTAACAATCAAAATAGTAATAAATAGAAAATAATCAATATACAAATTAACTAATAATACAAATATCTGCTATGTTTATAGAATCAACTTTATAAGGATTGTGTAACTATTATTGTAGATAATTAATTAAATAAATATACAAATTTTTTTTATTTAAAAAAAATTATAATAATTTTATAATCTTAGATTACAATTGTAATTTATGATAATATATACAAATATTTTAATAAATTATGTTATAAAGTTGCAATTCATTTCTTTATAAAAAATTTTTTTTATAATATAAATAATTATTTGTATAACTCTTTTTTATTGAGGATATATTAATAATATCTTAATAAGAAAGAATGTATTATTTTATAAAATATAATTTTGAAAATATTAAAGAAAACTTCATTTATTTGATTATATTAAGTATTTTTTTTAAAGGATTTTTAAAAATGAATTTACATATAACAATATAATAAAATCCATATTTCCAAAAAGAGTAAATCTAATTTAATTCAACTTTTAAAGATTTTTATTATTTATACTTAAGAAAAATTGTAAATTTTATATCTTTTGAACTTAGAAATGGAATTTTTTAAAAGTAATATTACTTGATAATATATAATTTAAATAATATTTCTTTTTAAAATAACAAAAAAAGATAATTTAAATAATAGGCTATTTACGAATTTTGTATTAACTTAAAATAAATGCTTTTTATAAAATTTATATTTAACTTGTTACTTAAATTATAGATATTCAAATCTTATCAATAATTTCTCTCAAAAGCAACTAAATTGAAAAATTAAAAATTATTTATGAAATATCCTTTTTAGAAATCATTTTATTACTATAATTACAGTATTATGCAATATGGATTTAAAATGTATTCCTTTAAATATTTCAAAAATTTATAAATATTAATTCATTTAATATTTATAAATTATACAAAAATAAATATAATCCAATGCAATTCTCTAGCTTAATTATATTAGAAACTTTATATTTAAGTAGATGCTTTGATACAATTATATTTTTATTAATTCAAAATTTAGAAAATTAATAAATTGCAAGTTAATACACTACAATTTTGAAATATTGCTTATAAGTTAGTATCTTATTTCTTTGACTTTTATTTACAACTTCAAACTTCTATAATTATACTATACAAATAATTAAAAGTTATTAATTAATTGTATAATTGATAATGTTTTTATAAAAGGAAGAAATCTTGAAACTTAAGGGATAGATCAATATTAATTCAAATTTTTTTTTTGAATAACTTTAATATAACAAATAATAAGATAAGGTGATGATTTACGAATTATTTAAGTTTTATTTTCTATAATCAATTCTAATTAATCTTTTCTTATATTTTACTTTAAACCAATTGAGGTCTTAAAATCTTAAAAATAAAATATTCCTATTATAAACTGAAAGATTATCATATTTAAAATCATACCATCCAAAACGTTTCCTTTGCATCAAGAAAAATAAAAGAATCTTCTGATTAATCTCATGAATTATTTAAATTCTATGATAATCACCAATTATTTGATTAGTAAGTACCTTTTACTTACTTACAACTAAAGTTTGTCTCTTGTTAAGATATAGTCTGGTAACTAATTAAATTTATACACATTTTTTGAGATATTAAAATTAGTTTTATTATTATCTTTTGACTTATCCAACTTGTCAAAAATGACAGCTATTTATTATTATTTAGAATGGAATCTGGCATATTCGAGTGATTCTAATTCTTGATGAAAATTTTATAGGTGGAGATTTTTCATTATTCGATCCAAAGAATTTCTTTAATTCTTTTTCAAAGAATCAAGAAAAATATTTTCATAAACAAAACTCCTAAAGTGTATTAATCTTTTATAATACTAAAAAATCTAATAAATGGAATAAAATCTTTCAATCAACTTCTAATTCATTATGTGAATCTTTCAACATCATGTTTTAGCACCTTTTCACATGCCCAATTAATCAAATTTCCAAATTTTATTTTCATCAATATTCAAGTCATTGCGTTTAATAAGGTGAGTAAGATTGACCATTTTAATAAAAGGAAATATGGGGAAGTAAAAGTGCATTTGGTTGTAATGCTAATAATTCGCAAAAATGCATTCAAAGTCTAATGAATTTTCATATTTGGATGCATTATAAAATATTTCTGTTGAATCCTCATAAATAATAATATATTCTTTCGTATAATTGATTAATTCAGAAGTGCTATTTCATCGACTGCAAATAATAAATAAACTACCATCCACAATCAAAGAAAATTCACTCATATAAATTTATCTTTAGAAAGAAAAAAAAATTTTTTTAAGATTTTAACCATTGCCTATAATTTTTTTTTTTTTTTTTGTTCTTCTTTCTTTCTTTGACTTACTTTAGAAATTTTTTGAATTCAGGAAGAAATATTTGGTTTTGTAAAAATAATTATACCTTTCTCACCAAAGATTCAATTAACACACATTTTAGTCATCCGCATAATTTAATAATTCATGCAATAAAGAATTTCCAAAAGTGGAAAATCCTTCAGATTGATAATGCATTGGAATACATTGTATTACTTGTGGAGATTATGTCATTTGTTGTTCTAATTACTTTTATGGTACCAATAACGAACTTTATTTAAGTTACCAAATTCGGCAGTCTTATCGGATAGTTTATCATACATATTGTCCGAATACGCTGGAATATAAAATTCTCGCTTTCGTGTTTATGTTAATAAAAAAAAAATGGCAACTCAAACTTTATCTGACGATTGTATTTATTATATTATAAAATTATGTCAAAACGAACGCTCGATTCTTTACAATTTCTCATCGGTCAATAATTTTTGTTGCAATGCTGTTATCCCTCTCCTTTATAAAAATCCCTTTCATAATGTACAAGATTCTTTACATTATTATTTATTAGCAAGGACTTATTTAACCTGTCTTAATAAGAAGGAAAGGAATCATTTGAATTTTAATTTTAATATTAATATTAAACCATCCTCACTATTTGAATACGTCACATATTTAGAAGAATTTTCAAAAAGTGATTTACAATTAATGAACATCTATTATAAAATTTACCAAAAGAAAGGGGATGTCTCCCTCATGGAAACTTTTTATCATTTATTCTTGAGACAAGGAAAAAAGTTAAAATCATTAGAAATTTTGACTGAATTATTGGATCAATCATTATTTAATACAGAGTTTATTGATACGATCATTTTAAATAATTTGGTCAATGTTAAAACTTTAACGATAAGAAAGCGACAACATTTTGATATCCCCTTATTTGTACATTTTTTGAAAAAGTTGTCAAATGATTATAATGAAATCAAGTTCTTTAATCACAAATATGAAACTTTTAATTTCTCACCTCTCATAAAAAATCTTATTCTAAAACAACGACAACTTACTAAATTTAAAATAAATTCTGAATCATATTTCTCCAAAATTAATACTAGAACAAAATTACAATTTGACAATTTGGTTTCCTTGACCTTAATTAACATGAACCTTCTGATGATTTCTTTTGATAATTTTAACAATTTTAACAATTTAAAAGAATTGATTTTTAATAATTGCGAAGAAATGAGCGATATTCAACGTAATAAATTAACTAAAGCGCCTTATAATTTGAAAACCCTAGGTTTGGGTAAATGGTCGGCCAGAACAATAGAACTATTAATTAAAACTTTTGGCAGTTCGTTAAAAAAATTATTGGTTGGTACCATAACTATTGAAATCATTAACATCGTTTCATTATACTGTTCAGAATTAGTTACATTTAAGATCCTAGACAACATAACATCTATTCATTTTCCTTCTTTTCCAATATTAAAAAAAATTAAAATCAAGAAACTTACTTTCTTATTTTGTGATTCTTCATTAATTGAGCCATCGATTTTCCTAAAAAATATTGCAATCCACTTTCCTGAATCAATAAGTAATTTATGTTTATTTTATAATGAAATTTTATCAGCAGATAAATTAGAAACAATTTTATATAACACTAAACCTTCTTTAACATCATTAACAATTAATTGTGAGATTGATAATAATTGTCTTCAAGTTATTTTAGATTATGTTAAAATAAGGAAATCGACAAAAATTTTAAAACTTAAAATTCAAGTAAATATTAGCAAACTAGACCTTTTAGCTAGAAATGTTTTGAAAAATCTAAGAGAACAAGGTGTTGATGTACAATTATTGATCATTTAAACTTTTCTTTCGGTGGAATCTCTCCAAAATTCATTGTATTTGTATTTAAAACAATATAAAATATTAAAATATATGTTTATTGTAAATAAATCAAACTTTATCGGTTACTTAACACTAATACTCAATAACTCGATAACTAAATATTCTATTATGGAAGTGTTCGTTGTGTTATTGCTCTTATTTTAATATGAATGATTATGTTAATGAATAAACAACGAATTATACAAATTAATGCCCTATGCAATATAAGAAAGATCGCAAACGATAACGTTCAATACAAAAATATAGATTTTTCAAAACCTCACTTACATATATATACGCGCAGTTGCATATATAATTAATATAATTAAATCTTATATATGTATTTCTTCCAAAAAGAAAAACGTGTCTTTTATACACTCTTTTTACAAACTTGAAAAACTTCATAATCTTGAATAAATTCCTTATAATTACTATCCATAATTCTTTTTTCGAAATATAAATGATTATACCTTCCTTCAAACCATCCAAGATCCATAAATCCAATTGCCAAATTTGGTGCATTACGAATTGACATTTCGTTATATTTAGCTCGACTTAAAACGATACCAAATTTTTTGTCACCGCCGCCCAAAGAACAAATAAAAGCGTCTTCATTATATTTCAACCCAATTTCTAAATTCCATGATTCGGGATTATAGCCACCAATTATTTGTAAAGAATCTTTAACTTTAATTATAACTAAGGTGGGTCCTTTGTTTATACATAATTCGTGAAATTCTCGAATAGTCTTTCCATCACGACTTCCTCGAAGTAACAAATTAAATTCATATATGTTTCTTGAAATATTAAAGCTAATTCCATCATTGTCTTTTGAATCGATCCAACTTGCTAAAAGTGCCAAGTGTTTATTATTAATTAGAACGGAATCTGGCACCGTTTGAGTGATTGGAATTCTTGGTAGTCGAAAATTTTTAGGTGGAGATATTTTCTCATTCGATTCAAAGAATTCCTTTAATTCATTTCTCAAAGAATCAGGAAGAATATATTCATAAGGCAAAACTCCTAAAGTGTACTGATCCTTTGTAATACTGAAGAATCTCATAAATGGAATAAAATCTTTCAATCGACTTTCTAACTCATTAAAGTCATTTTTCGTAAATTGACTAACATCGTGACAAAGTTTTGGCGTTTGCTCACATGCCCACTTGATCAAAATTTTCCAAATTTCACTTTCATCAATATTCAAATCATTGCGTTTAATAAATGTAAGTAAGGTTGACCGTTTTAATGAAAGGAAATATGAAGAAGTGAAAAGTGCATTTGGTTGTTGTGCTAATAATTCTCCACAAAATTGTTTCCAAAGTCTAGTAAAATTTTCGTATTTGGATGCGGTGGAAAATATTTTTGCAAGATTTTCTTGAATCCAATCACGCTCGTAAGTAATAATATATTCTTCCATGTACTTGACTAATTCAAGAAGTTCTAATTCATTGGCCGCAATTAACAAATCAAGCATAATTTCTTGAACATCTTCTTCTTCAACTAAAAGTACTTCGCCCGTATAAATATATCTTTATAAAGAAAAAATTTTTTTTATTAATATTCATTTATCATTACAATGAATGTTCTTTAGTTTTAATTATCTTACTTTATAATTTTCCCGAAAACTTTAGGAGAAATATTTGGCATTGTAAAAATAATCTTATCATTGTCTTTTTTCACCAAATTAGAAGTTAAAGTAGTTTTCAGATAAGGAGAACGGGCTCCTAAAATTAAAGAATGAGCTTTAAAATGTTCTCTATCATTGCCAACCTCAATTATCACATCACAATTACTAGTATCATTCAACAATTGACAAATATCCCGCAGTAAGTTATCTGCGAAAAGTGGAGCCATATTGTAAGTCAATTTTCGCACAAAAATTTTTAAGCGTATATTTATATTGGTCCGGAAAAACAGCTACAGATCTCTAAATCATGTGAAGACCTGTGAATATCACGAAACATTTGAAGCATTTCCAAATTTATGATTCAATAGCATCCGAAAAGTGAACAATTTCTCAATTATTCGTTTTAATAAATGAAAGCCTTCGTTTTGGGATATGTTTTACGATTTTTACGACGATATATATGATGAATTATATATTGTTATTTGATACGTATTGTATTATTTTCAATTTTATTTTCTCATTTTTTTTTTCATGTTGCTCATTTTTGTATCACAAATTTTGTGTTACATTTTTTTAATTTCAGGCTTAAGAAATTCATCTAAATCATTTAAAGTATGATTTCTAAGCTAATATATATAATATATTAATTAAAAAATGTATATAAAACAAGAATTTGTATTATTTATTTCATGGGGAGTTAGGAATAATATGGTTTTTTTCCCGAAGGGAAAAAACCATGGTATTCCCTCCCCATGAAATAAATGTGTAACCCCCAGGAGCGTGTCACTCATTAAACATAACACGTGACTATACATGATTAGCGATTTAAACTTTTTTTTTGCATTATTTTTTTCCCACGCTTCTTTTTTCTTCCTTAAACATTTTCTTTCT